AAAGATAAATGTAACGAGAATACAAAATTTAATTATTTGTAAATTTATATATAATAATTTTAATAATTATTATAGAAAATAATTATTTCTCATTGTTTCATTTTCATCTTAATAATGCATTAAATTTCTACTTATTATTCTGAATATTTTTTCATACGTAAAAACTACCTTATATCTAAATTTGTAAATAAATTAATGAAATGATCACAATATTTTAATTCTATTAATTCAATTAAACTGTTAAGATAACCCTAGGTTTATAGGTTTCTAAAGGGTTTCTGAATTTTATTAATTTTGTATTAATAATTTTAGTTTATTATGTTTCAATGTTTTTGTAGTTTTTAATATAAATTAAATATTTATTTTATATTTCAATACATTATAAGTGCAGTCTGATATAATAAACAGAATTATGAATGCATTTGATTATATGAAAACTTTAATTATATGATATATCGGTAATAGTTGTAAATTTTGTTATTTTGTTTTCATAGATTACATGTCAGTATAAACACAAATTGGTTTAATTGAAGATCCGGCTATATATATAAAAAAAAAATTTTAATTGGAAATATTATCATAACAATTTATTAGAAAATTGTAAAGTGACGTCTTAGATGTTCTTTTAATATAATTCAAAATCAATACAAGCTTCATTTTCTACAAAAACTATACGAATAGTACACAATAATGATATTTCATGAATTTTATGTGTATGTATATAGTACAGAGATTAGAAAAATGTTAATACTATTATCTAATGTATTAAAAAAATCATAATACAAAAAATTGATGAACTAGATAAAGATGAAAATTGGTAGTGTGGTCCTTGAAAAAAGCTTCGTTTCATCAGCACTGGCAACCTTGTAAAGCTCTCTTGCTAAACTGAAAGGGACGTATAGACAAATGAACAGAGATTTTGCTGGTGGGGGTTGTAGGAAGGAATAGTCAAAAGAGAAGCTAGTGAGGGGGTAGGCAGCATTGCCATGGCCTCGAAAGAAAGAGAAAGTACTTTTTAACGAAAGTGATGGTCGTGCAATCGGGGGTTGCGTTTAGCGTGGGCGACACTATATAGGGGGAATGCCGGTCTCTGTTTTTCTTTCTTTCTTCATCTATCAATCTATTTATCTCCTTCCCTCCCTATCGCATCCAAGAAAATTCGGACTAGCGAGAACGACGACAACGACCACGACGACCGCGACGACGACGACGACGCCCTTGTGTGTGTTTCTTATCGACGGAAGGGGAAATGGTTGGGTGAAGTAGTGAAAGAGGGAGTGAAAGAGAGAGTAAGACAGCCAGAAATCCAGGGTGGGTCGGTACTTTTATAGAAAATTCGCAGGCTTACAAGCTGTGAGCATGGTCCTAGGGGAAAGCGCGCGACAGTGACGGGCGTGACGTAGTCAGAGTAAGATGTACGCCCCGGTCAGCAACGGCCCTAGGAATCACCAGTCGTCCCTGTTCAATTCATGGTGGCTTCATCCGTTAGGTACGTTATCAAGCTTAATCTCGCCTTTTAAGCGCAAACCTTTCACTGATCGATTAAGACCATGTGCTTGTGGTTCTGATTATATTTGGATTATTGTTAGAGAGATCACGTTATACGGTTTCAAGGTGACACTTTTAAAATGGCGTTAAACGACTCTTGAAGGTCAAGGTACATATTGCAGGCGAAGAAAATCCCGTGATTTGTCTTCATTTTCAAATTCACAAACACTCGTAGCCCGAGAGATAAATGCGCAGGGTAATTGAGTTCTTAACTTTTTCATAGCTTTTGTTTACATTTATTAGTAACACGAGTGACGTTATAATGCCATTAAGAGCAATATATATACAAAATACTGATATTTTTTATTAATACAAAGAAAAAAAGCAAAATTAATAAAATAAATGTGTATTTTTTTATAAATAACGGCCAATTATTTTTCAATATTACTATATTTGTTTTATAATTTTACTAAAAAGGGATACTAATTAATGCCTTACGTGGTAAAGAAAGTTTCTTTGTATTTATTTATATCATTTAAATCTATTTTAGTACTTAAATACTTTTCTATTAAAAATATTTACTGCACAAGGATATAATATTGGCCAAATCTTTTTAAAAATTTAACACGCTGATAAAATATACATTAAAAGCAAACATGTAAAATCAATGCACGTATATGTATTTTCTAACAATAAAAATAAATTATATTTAAAATTTTTATTTTTCTCTTAATCATATATTCCATTTAAATGGTATAAAAGGATTGAGAATCAAAATTTCAAAAATAAATAAAGTATTAAATACAACAAGATTAATACAGTAATTTCTTTTTTTATCTAATAAAAATTTTATTAGATAATTATATCTTAGTTCAATTCCTAAGCAAACAACAAAATTTTTTATGTTTCTAATTATAAAAATTATAGATCGCATGGCTTAAATGTTAGTCAATTGAATATTAGAATATCAACTTTCAAATTAAAGTTTAAGAAACATTAAATTATATAAATCA